TTCGCTTCAGGTCCCACGGTTGCGATGACGCCCGACCATCCCCAGATCGCGCGCCCCGAACTCCTGGGAGAGCGGGGCAGGGGTGAAGGAGAAAAAGGAAGGAGAGGGAGAGGAGAAAGAAGACGGCGGGGAGGAGGGGGACGAGGAGGATGGGGAGAGGAAAAGGAGGAGAAGGAAAAAGGGCGAGGAAAGGGACGGGGACGAGGACGAGGAGGAGGCAGGAGAGCCCTGGCACACGTTGCACACTGCAACTGCGCGTTCCCGAAACCACGCTCCCTCGCAAGGTCACGCCCCTCCTCGCACTCTCCCGGGGCCACAGCCCGCTGTGCCTCGCGCCAGGTCGTCGCGCTCGCGGGGCCGCTGCCCGCTTCGAAATCTTCGACTAGCAGGCGCCCGCGAAGTCGCACCCCCTCGAACAAAAAGTACTACGCGCTGACGCCCCCGGGACCGCAGTGCGTTGAGACTGCGCCAGCCCCTCGCCCCCCCCCAATTCCTTGTGACATGCACCAGGCTCGCGCTCCCGAGGCCGCGACGTCTCTGCGCCCGATGACGCGGCTGCGCGCCCGAAGCCGCAGCGCCTCATAAACTACCACGCGCTGGCGCTCCCGGGGCGACGCGCCTCACGAAGGCCGCCTGCAAGCGCCATCCCCTCTGAAGAGCAGGACACCTGCAATGATCAGCGCTGGGATATGCGTTCGGGCACGGCGGTGACCTTAAGAAACAACCGAACGGAATCCCAACGCGATACTTGAAGCACATGCACGAGATCCTGGAATGCGGCTGTCAAGTGTCGGGGTACAAGACCCAGTGGGCACATTTGACACCCGTCGCCGCCAGGTTGGCTAACAACCGCCGGGGTACCAGACCCGAACAGGCGCGGTTGGGAACCAAATTGAATGACGGACCCTGAATGCCAACGATGTAAGGAAACACATGCGATCACACATGCGGCAGAAACCGTTGTCATCCATCCTCTGGACCAGCCGCCCCACGCATCCCTCCTCCGCTGTCGTCATCCTCGCCCACCAATGTTCCTTCCCCTGATCACCCTCCACCTGTTCCTCGTCCTCCTCCTCCTCATCAGCAGTCCTCCTCAACCCGCTCACCCTAAGTTGGGAATCGCGAAATGGCACCGCTGGCTCTCCAGACCAGCATTCAACTTTTCAGCCTTCACGGCGTTCACAGCTGTCCACGAGGCCCCCACGAAGCGCTGTCCGGGGTGGGGGAGACGCATGCGGGCACCCCCACTGGGGCCTTCTGTGGAGTTCCCTATGGGGCCACGAAGCGCTGCCATGGGTGGGGGAAACGCATGCGGGCACCACCACTGGGGCCTTCGGTGGGGCTCCCTATGGGGCCACGAAGCGCTGCCCTGGGTGGGGGAACCGCATGCGGGCAATCCCACTGGGGCCTTCGGTGGAGCCCCCTATGGGGCTACGAGACGCTGCCCTGGGTGGGTGAAACGCAAGGAAGAGGGGGAGGAGGGAGGAGCGGGAGGAGGGGGAGGAAGGAGGAGGGGGAGGAGGAGAAGAGAAGGAGGACGCGGGGCGCTGTCTCTTCAAAACGAAGACCCAACACCGCAGGATGGTTGGGAAAAATCAGCAGGCGAGTGCGGCATCCATTGAGAAGTCGAACTCCACATAGGAAGCCCAAGTCGCATCGGACCCGCATCGGAACCCATCGAAATCGAACCGAATCTAATCGTGCGGTGATGCCTGCGGAGTAAGTCCGAACGGATACATACCCCGTGTGGACTTCACCTCCCCTGCTAATATACAAAATCCATTCGGAAAAATCCGATCGAAGTGCTTGGCCCCCGTCTGGGCTTACTCTGTCTGGACTGACCCTTTCCTGCCTTGTCGTTGGCTTTCGGGTCGTAGCTCGGGCCTCTGGCCGCCGTTCGGGACGAGCCGGGCATCTCCCGAACGCCCTCGGCGAGGTGCGGCGCTGGAGGGCACCCCGACGAACACCAACGAAAACGAACACCGCAGAAAACGTCCAAAAATCTTGGGCCTCTCCTCCTCCTCCTCCTCCTCCTCCTCCTCCTCCTCCTCCTCCGCGAGCGCCTGCGAGCTGCGGTCCTCGATCTTTACGCACTGAAGGGGGCCCGACCTGGGCTCACAGGCTCCCTGCTGGCCATTCTTGGATGCCTGGGGGGGGGGGGGCTTCTCTTGCGTGAGCTTCTCGGTTGCCTTCATCCCCGCGCTCTTACTTGCGGGAAGGGGTACTCCAGATTTCGTAATAAAGGGAGAGGGGTCTCATTTCGGGGGGGGTCTCTTCCAGGCTATCTTGGAGGGCCTGGGGGGGTCTGGGGACAATGTTTTGGAGGGTTCTCCCACGGGGGGGGTCCGAAATGGCTTGTCTTGGAGGGTCCAGACCCCCTCCCTTTTATTACGAAATCTGGAAAAGGCAAGCTTCTTTAAACTTACGGCAGGCCCGAACCCTCCAAGACCCACACCCCCGACACCACAAGACCCCCCCGACTGAACGCCTGGTGGGGGTGGTGGCCGGGGTCGAACTTCGAGCGTCCGTCTGGACTACTGGCACCTCCCATTCACCGTGAAACGATCTGTCCGTACGAGCTGTTGGCGGACGGAACGGCTGGCTGGCTTAAATCACGACTGCCTGCTGGTTGCGGGCATGGATGGGGCTTCGGGCATATACAATTCAGGCGCAACCACCGAGCAACTCGACATCGTTGCGTCCGCTTCTGGCACCTGCTACACCTGACAAACTCGCCCTCAAGAACTGGCCAGTGGGAGGCGCTTTCAAGGAGATGATTGAACGCTGCTTCGGATCGGGCCCGCCGTCTCTCTCTCTCTCTCTCTCTTTCTCTCTTGGAGTCGGCGGCCTCTTGCTGGACTGGGTAGTGTGTCCACCACATCTGAACTGCGGCGAGCCTCCCTCGGGTTTGCTCTGCAAGCGCACCCAGAGCCTCGACCCTTTGGGCCAGGTCGGGGGGAACGGCGGCCCGCGCAGCGGATTCGTCGCTAGCCCGTCGGCTGTCTCATTGGCAAGGACCGTCCAAACTCGATACTTCGCCCGCTCCGCGGGCGTGGACAGCTGGGACTTGACTTCGAAGTAGGAGATCTGGCCTGTCCGAGCGCCTAGGACTGACCAGTACTCCTGCCAAAGCCGCCGATGCCCTGTGGCTAGATAGATGGAACATGTAACTATGATGAGGTCCCCCGTGGGTGTGGCGGAGGAGTTCTATGGCCTTTTTTAAGCCGACCCGATTTACAGTCTGTAACCCTACTACAGTACCCTGGAGTGCCCCCAGGAGGTACAACTCTTCAGACCACACCCCAGCTCCCCATCCCACTCGCCTAATGCGGGGATCCTTGGACTTGGGGCCCCCTGCGCCATCCACCGCGCCTAGCCGCCAGCCGCCGCTGGGTGCGGGGGGGTCCAGGAAAGCCCCTGTCCCTTGCAAGACGGGGTGCTGGGGCGTGGTCGCCTCCTCCTCCTCCCCCTCCTCCTCCCCCTCCTCCTCCTCCTCCTCCTCCTCCTCCTCCTCCTCCTCCTCCTCCCCCTCCTCCTCCCCTCCTCCCCTCCTCCTCCTCCTCCTCCTCCTCCTCCTCCTCCTCCTCCTCCTCCTCCTCCTCCTCCTCCTCCTCCTCCTCCTCCTCCTCCTCCTCCCCCCCATCCCCCTTTGGCTCTCGTTGGCTCATCTACTACCGTCACCGGTAGCAAAGGCTGCAATGAGATAGGAGAAACGATGAGGATCAGACCTGGACGACGCCAAGGAACTCCTCCAGCTCCTCGAACCGCGGGCGCAGCCAACCAGGCAGCCGAGAGCCGCGGGAGTCCATGGCGAGGTACTCCTTCCACACCTGCTCTCTGCTCACAGGTCGGCCTCGCTTGTCCCGTACCACGGGGTCCTGCACGTCCGAATCCGAGCTGGAACCCGAGGCCGTCACAAGCTCCAACTCTGCAGCAGAAAATGGCTGGAAGGCGCCCGTCCCGCCAGTGACCGACTCCTCCGTGCCGCCGACGCGCGCGGCAGTGACTACCCCACCACCGACAGGCTCCGCCTCGAGCGTGTCAGAGCTGTCCCGCGGCTCGCAGACATCCGCAGGAAACTCAGGGACAGGAAAGCCAAACGATCTGCATCATCCGCTTCCTCCGAGCTGGACCGCTCTGATGACGGCTCATCTTGCACATCTACAGTAGGTATATATCTGGCAAGCTCTCCCTCGGAATCGCACTCTATGTGTACGCCCTTAACACCTATGGCCGCCGCGGGCTGCTCGCCGCCACCAGCCACGGGAACGAAACACCCGGCCTGGGGGTTAAGCACGAGTTGGCGGGGAGGTTCTGGAGCCGCGCATCCCAGTCGCCTGTACTCCAGTCTAGGCCCCTTCTGGAAATCTTTTACCTGCTTGTCTGACGTTGCCGCTACACTGGCGCCGCCTGCGTCTGCGTGGAATGCCACGTTGCGCCTCCGCACATCGGCCAGCAGCGGGACCTCTCCGCGAAGGAAAGACAAGAGATGGGGAACAAGGGGCGAGGACGCCATCCGCCAATTCTGGATTGTCGAAGATGGCTCCGGCACAGTACACCAGCTGCCCGTGGGCGCCGCGCACCCTCGCCAGCTCCTCTGAGAAATTGATGATTGCTCTGTCAGCTGAACGGCGAGCCCACTGCTTGTGCGCACGCCGTGCGGCAGGAGTCCGCCGATCTGGGCGATCAACACCATCGCCCTCCCGCGCCATTTGCCCGTGAGCCACGAGCTCTACTCCCTCGAGTCCCCCACGCCCGCCGCGTTGCCCCGTCAAGCTGGGGTCGCAGGGTACGCCGGGGGACAAGGTCCAGGAGCAGGGGGCCAACGGACAGGCCAGAGCCAAAATGGCTACGGATCTCCCCCCCCCTTTCCCCCCCCCCCTCCCCTACCCCTCCTCCTCCTCTTTCTCCTCCTCCTCCTCCTCCTCCTCCTCCTCCTCCTCCTCCTCCTCCTCCTCCTGGGGAACCCCCTTTGGGACCCGGCGGGCGGCCGCAGACTCCTCGGCCGCCCCCGGGAAACGCCGCAGCTCGGCGCCGCCGCGGAGGGCGCGCGGACCCGCGGCGCCGCGGGCGCCAGGCGAGACGAAGCACTGCGCCGCGAAGGCCCAGCCCGCGAGGGCGGCGCACAGTGCTCCGCGCCCGGCGGCGTGGCTCCTGGTGGCTCATCATCATCATCATCATCATCATCATCATCATCATCATCATCATCATCATCATCATCATCATCATCATCATCATCATCATCATCATCATCATCCTCCTCATCCTCATCCTCATCCTCATCCTCATCCTCATCCTCATCCTCATCCTCATCATCATCATCATCATCATCATCATCATCATCGCCATCATGATCACCACGTTCATCATCATCATCATCATCGTCATCATCAGCAGCAGCAGCATCATAATCAGAGTCAGCATCGTCATCATCATCATCACCAAAATCACCATCAGCAGCAGAAGCATAACCATCACCACCAACAGTATCATCATCAGCAGCAGCAGCATCATCACCATCGTCATCACCATCATCGTCGTGATCATCATCTTCACCAAAACCACCATCAGCAGCGTCAGCACCATCACCACCACCACCACCATCATCATCATCACCACCAAAACCACCATCGGCAGCAGCAGCAGGAGAACCATCACCACCACCACCTTCATCATCATCAGCAGAAGCAGCAGCATCGCCATCAACATCACCATCATCATCATGATAATCATCTTCACAAAACCACCATCAGCAGCAGCAGCATCACTACCACCATCGTCATCAGCAGCAGCAGCATCATCATCATCATCATTAACATCACCATCGGAATCACCATCATCATCATCAGCATCATCATTATCATCAGCATCACCATCATCACCAGCAGCAGCAGCACCATCACCACCATCATCATCAGCATCAGCCTCCTCATCAGCAGCATAAGCAGCAGCGGCACCCTCACAATCAACATCATCATCATCATCATCAGCAGCAGCAGCAGCAGAAGCATCAGCATCATCAGAAGCAGCACCATCACCACTATCATCATCATCATCATCATCATCATCATCATCATCATCATCATCATCATCATCATCATCATCATCGACAGCAGCAGCATCATAATCATCACCATCATCAGCATCATCATCATCTGCATCATCATCATTATCATCATCACCAGCATCAATCATCACCATCAGCATCATCAGTATCACCATCACCATCAGCAGCAGCATGAGCATCAGCAGCAGCACCACCACCTCCATCACGACCATCATCATCAGCAACAACATAGTCACCAGCAGCAGCAGCAGCAGAAGTCACCACTGCCATCATCATCATCATCATCCTCATCATCCTCATCATCAAAATCATCACCGTCAGCATTGACATCATCATGATCACCGTCAGCAGCAGCATCACCATCACCACAATCAGAATCGTCATCACCTTCATCACCGTCTCCATCATGACCATTATCATCACCATCAGCATGGTCATCATCGTCATCACCATCATCGTCATCAGCAGCAGCATCAGCAGTAGCAGCACCAGCGGCACCATAACCCCAAACACCATCATCATCACCACCATCATCGTCAGCCGCATAATCAAACAGCGCATCATCATCACAAGCATAATCAGCAGCAGCATCAGCATCAGCATCAACACCTGCAGCAGCACCATCACCACCATGAGCATCATCATCATCAGCAGCAGCTTAAGCATCGTCAGCAGCAGAAGCAGCATCATCACCACAATCATCACCATCAACAGCAGCAACACCATCATCATCACCATCACCATCATCACCATCATCCTCATCAGCAGCAGCTGCATCAGCATCAGCAGCAGCAGCATCATCATCACCAGGATCACCAGCATCAACATCATCAGCACCGGCATCATCTCCGAGCGTCGGGAAGCGGAGCAGGCGACCACGGGAAGATCAATGGAAAACCAATTAACAAAAACAAGGATGTTTGCTTAGTGGGGCTGCTTCGGAGCCCTCTTGGGCCGTCTTGGATGCCTCGTGGGCCGCATCGGAGCGATAGCGGGCGTGCTGGGACCGTTTGGGAGCCCTGCGGGCATCCTTGAGGACATCTGTGGCGTGTCCTAGTTAGTTTGGGGAGCCGCATAGAGCCTGCTTGGGCGATCATGGGCGCCTCGTGGGCCTTCTTGGCGCCCTCTTGGGGTGTCTCGTAGCCCTGCTGGGCGCCTCGTGTGCCGTCTTTACGCGTGGAGCAGCGGAGCAGGCGGCCACGCAAGAAGTCGCCCCTGGAGCCTCTCTCGGGGATCACCTCATCGCGTTGGGAAGGCAAGAGAGGCACTGTCACGACGCGGACGGGAGATCCATGCGGCCATGCGGCGGGCGGGCAAGAGGTCCGCCCATACGCAGGCGTGCACGCCGAGCACCAAGAAAAAACTGAGGCAGTTGCGCTGGAGAGGCATGGCTTGGCGGCCACGGTGTGGAGTGCGGCACCAGGCCAAGCCTCCCGCATCACTGCGCTTGCGCGACAACCCGCGAGCGACCTTCGCACAGTACAAGCTTCGCACTGCGGGCAGAAACCAAACGACCAAACAATGCGAAGGTGCCCGTCTGTATCACTGGCACGATGCTTCGGCACGATCAGCCACGTAGGCGACGTCGCACTTGTCGCGAAAAGCCGTCTCAAGAGAAGTGGTTCGCACTTGTCGCGAAAACCCACCGAACAAAAAAAAAAATACCAGGGCACCCCTCCAGAGAGAGGCGCGGCCCGGTGGAGGAAGGATCACACGACTGCCTCATCCGCGCCGTCACGTGCTCAGATGGTCGAGACTTCGGCCGCACCGTCCTCGCTGGCCTCCTCCTTTTTCGGGGGGCCCGCCTTCACGTCGGCCACGACGCGGAGCGCTGTGACTGCGAGGATCGGGTTGAGCAGGGCCCAGCCCCCGATGACGTAGCCGAGCCCGTAGCCGGCGCCGTTCGCGATGTCCCCGAGCTTGCCCTTGGCCGCCACGATGCCGTCGTTTTGGTCGTCCTGGACCCAGCACGTCGTCTCCTGCCCAAGCGCGCTCAGGCCGCTGGCCCACGCGGCGAGCAAGAGGACCCAGGCCACGCCGAAGGCGGCAACGGTGCCCCAGAGTACCTTGCGCATGTCACGCTTGTCCCCCCTGGCGAGTTACGCGAGCATCGCCGCAATCCCCAAGAAGCAGAAGACGATCCCGGCCACGCTCAGGCCGCCCGCGGCCGTCAGGCCGTCGACGTCCGTGCAGAGGTCGCCGAGCGGGATGCAGCAGGCCTTCGGCAAGGCGTCTGCGCTGCAGGACGACGCCGGGGCCGCGGACCACTTGGTGCCAGTCTGGCTGTAGTCGATGGTGTACGGTCGGGAGACCGCGGCGGACACGTTGGCGCACTGCGTCGCATGCAGGTCGCCGCACCCAGTCAGCGCCTCGCACTCGCTCAGCCAGTCCGCCGTCGTGGCGCTCGCGCACCCCTGCCACGACTCCTCGTAGACGGTATTGGCGCCCAGGACGGTGGAGAAGCCGCTCTGGTCGGCGCAGGCGGAGCTGAGGCCATCCATGCACGTCGCGAGGTGCGCATCGAGGGCCTCGCCCGTGAGGGGGCTCGGGGCCCAGCCCACCTCCTCCGCAAACATGGCGGAGCACGCGCTCCAGGCGCCGATGCCGACGTGGTCTCGGGCGTCGAAGGACGCGTACTTCATGTCGGACCACTTGGCGTTCGGCACCGCCATCAGCAACACCATGATCGAGTACCAGCCGAGCCCGTAGGCACAGGGCGCCAGCCACCACTGCCTCGCGCCGCCGATGTCGGTGCTGCCGATCTTCGACTCCTCCACCGCGGCGGACTGAGCCTCGCCGTCCGCGGTGGCCATCTGCATGCTGGGCGGCATGAATGAGAAGTCCTTCTTGAGCACCGCGGGCAGCCGCTCTGGGTGGTAGGCGCGCATTCCGAAGTCGCAGGAACCAGCGATTAGTAGGAGCAGGAGCGGAAGGCCCACGAACACGAGTGCCGCCCAATGCATCAAGGACAGCCCCAGGAGCAGGCCCGGAATGGCCGCGAAGACGGCGAAGATGTAGGCGATGGGGAACCAGCGCAGGTCCGCGGCCATGCTACCCAGCGCCCTGGCCATGGTGAGCGGCACGGCGCGCATGGCAGGAATCGGGAACCAGATCAAAGCGCCGATGAGGTTGAAGAACAGGTGCGAAAACGCCACCGTCATGCCGGTCGCGACGTTCGAGCCCGCCAACGCTGACAGCATGCCCGTGACGGTGGTGCCCACGTTCGCGCCAACGGTGAACGGGAACATCTTGTCAAGCTTGATCAGGCCGATTCCGACGAGCGGCGTCAGCGTCGAGGTGGTTATGCTGCTGCTCTGCATGAGGATAGTGATACCCACACCGAAGAGGATAAGGATGTAGTCGGCCACAAAGGGCACCGTCTTGAACTCCAGATTCAGCAGTCCCTGCATCCAAATCGCAGCGCGGCCCCGAAAGATCGTCTGCAGCAGCTTGACCAGGAGAATAAGCGTGGTGGACAGCATCACCAGGGAGATGACCAGCAGCAGCCACCCAGCCCCCTCGTCACTCAGGGGGGTGTCCAGGAACATATGGTTGTCCTGGGTGCGCTTGTTCTGGATGATCGACTGTGCCAGCAGGTCGTCCAGCTTGTCCTGGTCACTCGCCTGTGCGACCTTGGTCACCAGCTTCTCGCCCACAGATATCAGGCGAGAGGTGACTGGCTTCGTGAGCACTTTGATGAAGTCGATTTTCTCCTTCGCCTCCTGGTCCTCCTCGATGCCAGCGGACTCGACAAGAGCGCTGCCGATGTGGTAGAGTATGTGGGTGAAGTACTCGAGCGGGAGCAAAATGGACACTGTCAGCAGGTTGAAGCAGTCGTGCACCGTTGCGCCCGCAAACGCCCGTCGGTACTGGTCCACGTCACCCATGTGGGACATGCTGACGATTGTGTTGGTGACGGATGTGCCGATGTTCGCCCCCATGATCATGTAAACGGCGTTCTTGGGATCGATCAGGCCTGCCGCAGTCATCGTGATGATGATGGAGGTACTGGTCGACGATGACTGCACCAGCACCGTCGCCAGGATCCCGAGGGAGCAACCCGCGAACGGGTTGTCGAAGATGGCGTTGTTCCGGAAGACCGCGCCAGCGGTGGGGCCACCGATGACGGTGAACGCGTCGCCCATCATGCTGAGGGAGATGAGGAAGATGTAGAGAAGCCCCACCGCCGTCACCACCTTCAGCACCTGGATGATCACGAAGAGAACCTTCTCTGGGCCTGTCCGCTGCGACCACGCCTTGTCTCCGGACTCCATCTGCTTCACATCCCACTTGTCCACCACTGCCGCCATCTTTAAGCGGTTCTGCTTGCTGTCCTCGTCCGGAAGTCCTTGGGAGATGTGCCTCCCCGAAAGCCTGCCTGCCTGAGCTGCGGGAGCACGAGCCAAAAACGACTTGAGCCTACATCACGGTTTTTAATGTTTGTAGATTTTCTGCCCTTTCGGTCTTGAGGGCGCCCAAGACGGCCCAACAATCCTTCAAGATCGTCCAAGAACGGCTTCCAAGCCCGCAAGAGGGGCTCAAGAGGCTCCCAAGACGGCCCTTGGGGGGCCCAAGAGGGGAGGCGCGAACTGACATATCGAGCCCTCTACCCCCAAAAATCCGCCGACCCCTTGGGGTCACGGTGTGTGAGATGCTTCCCTCCCCCTCCCCAAAACCCTCCCCCGGGAGCCCGGTCCGGCGGGTTTGGAGGGGGGGGGGGGGTGGCAAAGGTGTTATCAGGCCCCACGAGGCCCTGGAGGGCTCCAAGCAGCCCCCACGACGGCACAAGAGGCCCCCGAGACGCCCAAGGTCACGACGACCAGGATGGCCCCAAGACGGCCCAAGAAGCCTGCCAGACGGCCCAGGAAGCCTCCAAGAGCATTCCCAAGAGGGGCCCAAGAGGTGTAAATCGTCCGATTCCTCTGGGAAACGGTCCGGGAAACGGTCCATCTTTTATCATGCTCGACTTTTCGGCCTTCACGGTGTTGAAGACGGCCCCAGAGTCCCCCAAGACCGCCCCCAAACGGCCCATCAGCAGCAGCAGCATCAGCAGTAGCAGCGGCACCATCATCACCACCACCATTGTCATCATCATCATCATCATCATCATCATCATCATCATCATCATCATCATCATCATCAACATCATCAGCATCATCATCATCACCACCACCACCATCATCATCATCATCACCATCATCATCATCATCATCATCAGCATTGTCGTCATCATCATCATCATCATCAGCAGCAGCAACATAATCAGCATCAGCATCAGCATGAGCATCAGCAGCAGCAGCTGCAGCACCAGCATCAGCAGCAGCAGCTGCACCATCACCACAACCATGATCACCCTCATCATCACCATCATAATCGTCAGAAGCAGCAGCATCACCATCAGCAGCAGCCGCAGCAGCACCATCACCACATCATCATCGTCATCATCATCATCATCATCATCATCATCGTCATCATCATCAGCTGCAGCAGCAGAAGCAGCAACAGAAGCATCAGCGGCAGCAGGACCATCACCACCATCATCAGCAGCATAAGCATCATCACCATCATCAGCAGCAGCACCATCAGCATCAGCAGCAGCAGCAGAAACAACACCATCAGCAACAACAGCCTCATCATTATCACCACCATCATCATCATCATCGTCATCATCATCATCATCACGATCAACATCATCATCATCATCATCATCACCATCATAATCATCATCATCATCATCATCATCATCATCATCATCATCATCCGCAACAGCATCATCCTCATCTTGACCATAACCATCATCATCAGCAGCATCAGCATCCGCATCAGCATCATCATCAACAGCAGCAGCAGCTGAAGCAGAAACATAAACACCATTATCATCATCATCAGCAGCATCAGCATCAGCATCAGCAGCAGCATCAGAAGCAGCAGCAGCACCACCATGACCACCATCATCAGCATCATCAGCGACATCATCAGCATCATCATCATCACCATCATCATCCTCATCATCACCATCACCTTCGTGATCCTCATCACCGGCAGCAACAGCATCGTCAGTATCAGCAGCCGCAGCAGAACCATCATCATTCTCATCAGCAGCCGCATCACAATCAGCATCATCATCAGCGTCATCATCACCATCATCAATATCAGAAGCAGCATCATGAGCAGCAGAACCATCAGCATCATCATCAGCAGCAACATAATCATCAGCAGAAGCACGATCACCACAATCATCAGCAACATCATCATCAGCATCAGCGTCATCCTCATCATCATCCGCCTCCCCCTCCTCCGCCTCCTCCTCATCAACACCAGCGTCGTCAGCATCATCATCGTACTCATCAGCACCAGCAGCAGCAGCAGCAGAAATCTCAGCATCATCATTAACATCATCATCAGCAGCATCGTCAACACAATTATCACTATCAGCATCATCATCATCATCAGCAGCAGCATTACGAGCATCATCATCATCAACAGCAGCGGCAGAAGCATGAACATTGACAGCAGCAGCAGATCCATCACCGCGATCATCATCACCATCATCACCATCAGCATCATCAGCAGCATCAGCATCATCATCACCATCATCATGACCAGCATCAGCAGCAGCAGCCGCGGCAGCCCCATCACAACTATCATCATCATCAACATCATGATTGGCATTATCAGTTGCACAATCATCAGCAGCAGTAGCAGCAACGTCACAAACATCAGCATCAGTATCATCATCAGCAGCAGCATCCTCGTACACATCACCATCATCATCATCAGCATCAGCAGCAGCAGCATCAGCATCAGCCGCAGTAGCCCTATCATCACCCTCACCATCAGTATCACGATCATCATCATCAACAACATCAACATCATGACCATTATCAGCATCCTTACCATCACCACCACCACCACCAGCATCAGCATCGTCAGTATCATCATCAGAGTCAGCACCTGCTTCTTCATCATCATCATCGCCATCATCATCGTCATCGTCGTCATCGCCATCGACTTCGTCATCGTCAGCGTCATCCTCATCCACATCCTTATCGTAATCGTCATCATCATCCTCATCACCCTCATCACCCATCAACATCATCATCACCATCATCGCCATGAAATGCATCATGATCATCATCAGCATCATCATCAGCATCAGTATCAGCATCACCACCAGCATCACCGTCGTCATCATTACCAGCATCAGCATCATCATCGTCACCATCAGCAGCATCATCATCACCATCATCAGCATCATCACCATCACCACGATCATCACCACCAGCATCAGCTTCATCATTGTCATTATCAGCAGCAGCAGCATCACCAGCATCACCAGCATCATCATCATCATCATCATCATCATCATCATCATCAGTAGCGGCGGCATGAACATTAGCAGCAGCAGCAGCCGCTCCATCACCATCATCATCATCAGCAGCATCAGCACCAGCCGTAGCAGCCCCATCATCACCCTCACCATCAGTATCACGATCATCATCATCAGCATCATCACCATTCTCATCATCCTTACCATCACCACCACCACCACCATCAGCATTGTCAGCATCATCATCCGAGTCATCATGTTCTTCTTCATCATCACCATCATCATGGTCATCGTCGTCATCGCCATCGGCATCGTCATCGTCAGAGTCATCCTCATCCCCATTATCATCAAAATCGTCATCCTCATCATCATCCGCACCCCCCATCAACATCATCATCACCACCATCATCGTCATCAGAAGCATCATGATCATCATCAGCGTCATCAGCAGCATCAGCATCAACATCACAACCAGCATCACCGTCGTCATCATCACCAGCATCAGCATCATCATCGTCATCAGCAGCAGCATCACCATCACCATCATCAGCATCATCACCTCAGCAGCAGCATCAGCATCAGCATCAGCAGCAGCAGCATCAGCATCAACAACCCACCATGGCAGCCAGCAAATGTGCTACAGCGGGCCGCCGCCGGCTCGCCGCGGAGCCCCGCCAGGTGCACGGGCCACGCCGCCTCGGGCGGGCGTGCGACCGCCATGGTACTGCGTTCGCGACGGAGGCGGGCGTGCTCGGCATGCCCCGAGTGCGCCAACACCCCAGGAGAAGTCCGAGGCGGCCGCGCGGCGGCGGCGCACCCGACGGCCCGTGCAGCGGCGGCTCCGGCGGCGGCTTCGGCAGCCCCGCATCGGCAGGGAAGTCCAGGAATCTCCAGAAAAATCCCAGACGTGCGGGGTGGTGGCGCGGAGGCTGCGGCAGCCCCGTCAGTCCTGGCAGCCGTGGCGGCCCCCCACGCGGCCCAAGAGCCCCCAGAGCCGAGCTCGGTAGCGAGCCAGAGCCATCGCGGAGGTGCGCCCTTCGCTACCCCTGGCGACGGCGAGGCCCCTGACGACAGAGCGTCCATAAGGGGGGGCGAGGAACTCGGCTGCTGGCTGCAGACAGTGGCGGTGGCGATGCTGGAGGGCGGGCTGCCGCGACGCGCGTTTGTCGCAGCATGGGATCGCCAGGACGAGCTGCCTCCCACGCTCGCCCGTCACCGACGCGCGCTGCGGCTGCTGCTGCCGGCGCGCAGCAGTCGCGAGCGGGCGACGTCCGCGCGCAGGCGTCCGAGGCGCCCGTGCCCGACCCGCCTGCTGCAGTGGCGGCGCGCCCGCGGTGGAATGCGGGGCTGGATCCATCTCATCGGCTCTGGCAGGTTGGCGGCATGGTGCCTTGTACCAAGTGCGGCTGAAGAGGTGTGAGCCGATGGGGCGCCCAGACACGCTGGTGCAGGCCGGCGCTGCCCTGGTGCCGAGGGCGCGAGAGAGGCGCCAGAGTGGCGACGAGCTCACACGGGTCGCACACTCAGCGGCCTGAGAGCCGCGATGCGCGGGCAGGGCTGCGTGCTTGGCGTGGGAGACGCTCACAGGGGCTCAATGAGTGCTGGCCGACGGAGTCCGACTATGCCCATGCAGCGTCGCCCAAGACCCAGGGCGCCATAGAAGGATTGCTGGGCTGCCCTTTGCACTAGCAATATCCTCCCTCCTCCTCCTCCTCCTCCTCCTCCTCCTCCTCCTCCTCCTTTACCATCATCATCATCATCATCACCATCATCAGCATCATGAACATCATCATCTGCATTATCAACACCATCACCATTGTCATCAACAGCATCATCAGCATCATCATCACCATCAACATCATCATCAGTATCATCAGCATCATCAGCATCATCAGCAGCAGCATCGTCATCATCGTCATCAGATCGGCATCATCATCATCAGCAGCATCGTCATCAGCATCAGCAGCATCAGGATCGCCATCATAATCAGCATAAGCATCAGCATCAGCAGCAGTAGCACCACCACCTTCAGTACCATCAGCACCATCATCATCAGCAGCATAAGCATTAGCAGCAGCAGAAGCAGCACCATCAGTACCATCATAATCGTCAGCATCATCACCATCAGCATTGTCATCAACATCATCATCATCATCATCATCAGCATCATCATCATCAGCAGCATCAGCATCAGCATCATCGTCAGTATCGTCAGCATCATCAGCATCATCACCAGCAACATCGTCATCATCGTCATCAGCATCGGCATCATCATCAGCAGCATCGTCATCATCATCAGCAGCATCATGATCACCGTCATCATCAGCAGAAGCATCAGCATCGGCAGCAGTAGCACCACCACCTTGAGTAAAATCAGCACCATCAACATCAGCAGCAGTATAAGCATCAGCAGCAGCAGAAGAAGCACTATCACCACAACCAACATCATCATCGTCAGCATCATCACCATCAGCAGCTGCAGCAGCAGCAAACAGCATCATCATCATCATCATCAGCAGCAGCAGCAGTATCATCATCAACATCAGCATCATCATCGTCGTCGTCGTTGCCATCACCACCATGACCTTCACCATGGCCATCACCATCACAACCACCACCACAATCTCAATAATCATCGCCATGGCCACCATCATAATCATCATCATCGTCGTCATCATCAGAGTCATCATAATCATCATCGTCATCGCCATCCTCATCGTCATCATCAGTATCATCATAACTACCACCACCACAATCATCACCATCCTCGCCTCTGTGAGTATCACCATCACAACCACCACCCCCACAATCACCATCACTATCGTCACCATCACCATTCTCAGCATCATCATCACCACCGTCATCATGATCATCATGATCATCAGCATCACTACCATCATCATCATCATCATCATCATCATCATCATCATCATCACCATCATCATCACCAGCAGCATCATCAGTTTACACATAGTCAGCATAATCGTCAGCAGCATCATTATCATCATCAGCATCATCAGCGTCGTAAGCATCCATATCCTCCTCCTCATCATCATCGTCATCATCATCAACAACAGCAACATCATCATCATCATCATCATCATCATCATCATCAGCATCATCATCAACATCATCATCATCATCAGCATCATCAGCATCATCATCAATCGTCATGCGTATAGCCATGTTGGCTAAAGTCCGAGGCACAACGTCGCGCTGCACGCGAAGGTGCTCCCCACCCCGCTGGTTTCCGCCAGCCCCGCGGCAAACACGGCGCGCCCAGCACGAGCCTCGTCTCGGGCACAGGGAGATCGGCGGCAGAGATGACGGGGTCCAGCTTGCGGAGGCTGACCTCCAGGACGAGCAGAGGAGCTGGAGAGCTACGTCGACCACACCACCCCGGCGGAGTACCACGCCTCGAACCTCGGCGGGTCGGCCGGGTCGGCGGAAGGCTTGCCATGCCCTGGGGGGGGGGCCCGGGGGGGGGCCGCGGCGGAGGGCGGCGTCAGGCCCGAGACGCAGGGCGAGGGGGAGGCCCCGGAGGCCAAAGAGAAGCTCATGGAAAGGGCCTCGGTGATCTCGCGGGTGGCCGCAGCGGCAGAGACCGTACCACGAGGGCCCCGCGTGCGCGGCAGCCCTTGAAGTGGAGAGTAGCGACGTGGACGAACGCGGATCGGAGAAGCACCACATTCGAGCGCTGAAGGAGGGCGACCTGGAAGAGAAGACGGAGGAGAAGGAGTCGGATTGCAGTGCTGTCAGGGCCAGGTAGGTTCGCGGTCCCTCGACACAATTGTTCGAGGCGGAACGGCCAGGCCGTCCCAGTGCATGAGGCTCGACCACTTCTCATGGGCTGTTTGCGCGTGGGAGTGCGACGGATGTGGACAGGACGTGTACTCTCAGATCGCCATATGGACGTGTGGCAGCTGTGGATTTGCTCTGTGTGCACCGTACAACATCCGATGGGAAGTCCCCTCGGAGTTCGAATTGTGCTTCGGTCGGTCCGCAGGTCTAGCGAAGTGTGCTTCGCTGCTTGCGCCGCCTCTGGACGGCCGTCGTCTTGTTTCTGAATATGTTGGGAGACATGGCCTCTGACCTTTCCGCCAGCGGTCGGGGCGAACTGGGCCGAGCCTCGGCCAACGATTGCGCAGCACCATTGCTACAAAAACCATCATTTATCGTCAACATCGTCATCGCCACTCGCCATCGTCACCATCATCACCACCATCATTGGCAAGCTCGTCACCAACACCATCCTCATCATCATCATAATAATGATCAGCAGCAGCAGCATCAGCATCCTCATCATCAGCATCAGCATCATCATCAGCAGCATCGGCATCATCATCATCATCATCATCATCATCAGCATCATCAGCGTCACCATCATCAGCATCAACAGCAGCAACATCATCAACATCATCATCAGCTGCAGCAGCATCAGCACCGTCATCATCATCACCATCACCATCAGCATCAGCATCAGCATCATCAACATCATCAGCATCATCGTGATCATCAACAACATCATCCTCATCATCATCAGCATCATCATCACACCATCAGCAACAACATGCCACCACCACCCTGAACATCGCCATCAACATCACACCCGCAAACATCACAAACGATCGTCGTCACTACCACCGCCCGCATCACTGCGAGGCTGGAAGTGATCCATGTCCAACGCCTGGGTACCGACTCCCTGGGGCCCCACTGGGCGGTGGATGTGCATGTTGGCCCCAGGGGGCCCGAACATGTCAATATGCACCGCCTGCCGAGGTCCTCGAAGATCGATCCCCCAGGCGGTGGTTATAGATAAATCCCAGCCTCTGACGATTGGCACGAAGCTTGTTCCACGAATTCCAGGGTTATCTAGCGGCCCTCGTTGGCTCGGAACTCGGCCCTTGCATTCTAGGAGTAGCTAGCGGCTCTCGTTTCTGCAGCTCGCGTGGAACATGAGGAAAGCTCGGAACTCAAGGAACTCCTGTTTCTATGCCTAAGCAGAAACTGTCGGAACTATGCGCGGATCTTTTCGGGCGGCGCTGGACCCTCCTCCCTGGCGCGCGGGGCGCGCCAGGAGCGGCACCGGAGGTGCCGCAAGGGGAGCCCAGCGCCGATCCCATAAATCCGCGCGGAGGTCATAAAGTTTACCTTTCTGCGATACTGGATCTTCGACGCAAGATATTGAACGTCTGGTTGGCGATGGAAAGATATCGTGCAACATCGAGGCACGCGATCCCTGTGAGGCACGCTATCCCTGTGAGGCAGGTCCCCGCGAGGGTCCCTTATGTGCACACCATCCCCCTGCCAGAGCTTCTTCGGCGCACGCGATCCCAAGGTGGAGGATAACGCGCAACAAGCGGACCAGCGATGCCACATCGCGAGGAACGTGCCCTAGACGGACCTACCATTTCTCCGACCTTGTACTGCGCCGAACGCAGCGGCCGCGTTGTCCATAGATGCATCCACTCCGAATGTGCCAATCTACGCCCGCAACGGCGCCCAACGTGTCTATAGACGCCTGTGGCTAGAAAGTGAGCATGGTATTTGGCCAGGGCCCCAGATACTCGTCTTCCAGAAGAAGTCAGAGCCCCGAATCATCAGGGGTAACTCGGGTCTGGGCTAACTCGGGTTGGTTTTTCGGGATTCCGAACCCGACTTACCCCGGACCCGAGTTACCCCGGATAATTCGGGCGTCCAGAGCCCCGAATCATCAGGGGTAACTCGGGTCAGGGCTAACTCGGGTTGGTTTTGTCGGGATTCCGAACCCGAGCTACCCCGGACCCGAGTTACCCCGGATAACTCGGGCGCCCAAAGAAGGCATAGACCCCGCCCTGCAGGCAGACTCTGCCCTGCCGCTCCTGCGGGAGGGCGCCATGGCGCCGGCGGGGCAGAGGTGGGGAGGCGGGCCCGCCGGAGGGATCGGCCCTGCCTGCCTTGGTGCCAGACGGCCGGAACCGAGCTGGCCGCGGGGAGGGGTGGGGAGGCGGGGAGGCCAGCGGACACGGATATACTCAGCGAACGAAGAACGGTATAAAATCAACTTTTTCGCTGTCGGGGGCGCCTGTCCCTGGGCGGCTGGAAAGTTTGTACCCCTACGGTGCCACCGTAAGGGTATAAACTTTCCAGCCGCCCAGGGACAGGCGTCCCCGACAGCGAAAAAGTTTATGTCATACCGTTCTTCGCCCGTTGATATACGGCAGGCTGGTTCCTGATACCGCGCTGGCTTCTGACACCGCGGGGCTTCTGGCGCCGCGGTGCCAGAAACCCTGCGGTGTCAGGAGGCAGACTCTGAACTCAGAGATGCCGCTTCTCCCTGGACCTCTCCGAGGCAGCGCTCGTGCTGACAATTTCGCATGTGCACACCATGGGTTCCCTCAAAACGTAGTCATCTCCAGTATGCTCACATCTTTCCTCCTCGCCCTCCTGCTTCTCCTCCTCCTCCTCCCCTCCCCCTCCCCCTTCTCCTCCTCCTCCTCCTCCTTCTTCGGTCCCCCCTGTCACGATACATTAGGCTAGTTACGCCCAGTTGTGCAGGCAAAGGTGGATGAAGGAGGGAAACAACTGAGGGCGAGGGGAAAGGAAGGATGGCGAAGCGGAGGGGGGAGAGAGGAGGGAGACAAACTGGGCGAGCTTGCGCTGATGATGTCGATGACGATGACGATGCTTGTTGAATGCTGAGCGCACTTTGCACTCGTGACTATGGTATCGGGCTCGCCCATCCATCGCCTTGGCGACGCTGGGCTGCAGGACGAGGAGGCGGACGGGGAGGCGGACACCCTACCCCTCCCACCGCTGCCAGAACATGGCGTGGAATCCACTGCTGCCCGCCGAGTGGAGCGTCTTAGAAAATCCGGGTCCCCCCACACCCCCTGCGCGCGGGATGCGGCGGCGCGGGGTCCTGGTCGCCCCTCTCCATCCTCATGATCCTCTCCATCCTCCTCCTCCTGGTCTTCCCGCTCCTGCTCCTCCTCCTCCTCCTCCTCCTCGTTCCCCTCTCTGTCCTATGCCTCCCCTCCGATGCTGGCCTCCTTGGTCCGATTGCCTTACCATCCGCGAGCTGGTATCCCGAAGACGGGTCCACACCTCCTTCCCTCCTTCCTCTACTCTGGGACGCACAAAGACATATCGATACGATTGATACGATGTGTCCTTCTCGGAGGATCCAGTCATCGGCCTGACCTAAGGAACGATAAATAAGGAATGAAGCCCCTTTTCTATCCCAAGGAATGACGCATAAGGAACGATCAATAATAAACAACGCTTAAGGAACTGTAAATAACGCATGCAAGCCTAAGGAACAACCGAGGCCCTTTTGAAAAGCAAGTGTTCCTCACTCAAGCCGCTCACTGTACTTGGTTTCCCGAGCGGGGTGTCCAGAAAACGCCCGCCACGGAGCTTAGGCTAAAAGTTGTCTCGACGCGCGCGTCGGTCCTGGTGGGGGGGGTCGATGCGCACATAGTATGAGTACGTTGGGTTGACGCTGGTTCCCATCATCCTCAAGATCATCCTGATCCCCCTCTTGGGGCCATGTTCAGGGGCTCTTCGGCCGTGACGGAGGCACCTTGGGCGGTTTTGCTCCTTCCCTCCTTCCCCGACACATCATCCTCAATATCATCCTGATCCCCCTCTTTCCTCCTTCCTTGTAGTCCTTCACTCCACCTCACTGGCTTCTCAGAGGCTCCTTAGAGGGCCCCTTGGGTCGCCTTGGAGCGTTGAACGCTCGAAAAAACAAGAGCGCAAAACTGCGGAGAAACAACACACACACATGGTATCATGTTGGTGTCTTTGGGGCCTCCTCGAAAGCCTCACGGAAAGGTCTTTGGGCCACCTTAACGCGGAAAGCTCGAGATGTCTGTTCGGGTTCCCTCTCTGGTCCCTTCTTGGGGCCGTCTTCGGGGACTCTTCAACCGTCAAGGGGGCCTCCTGGCCGGACAGACTAGTTCCGTCCTTTCCCTTCTCATCAGCATCACAATCATAATCAGAATCAGCATCAGCATCATCAGCATCATCATCAGCATCATCAGCAGCATCTTCATCATCAGCAACAGCATCTTCATCATCATCATCATCAGCATCATCATCATCATCATCATCATCATCATCATCATCATCATCATCATCATCATCATCATCATCATCATCATCATCATCATCATCATTAACATCATCATCCTCATCATCATCATCATCAGCATCATCAGCATCAACATCATCATCATCATCATTCACATCACCATCATCATCAGCAGCAGCATTATTACCATCATCATCACGAACACCATCACCGTCCTCATCGTTAGCATCAGCATCAGCATCATCATCAGTATCATCATCAGCAGCATCATCAGCATCATCATCGTCATCATAATCGCCATCAGCATCATCATCATCATCATCACTATCACCATCATCATCATCATCATCATCATCATCATCATCATCATTATCATCATCATACTCAGCATCATCAGCATGATCGTAATCATCAGCAGCAGCACCATCAGCATCAGCAGCCGCGTCAGCCTCATCAGCATCATCATCATCATCATCAGCAGCAGCATCAGCATGTTCAACATGGTCATCATCATCATCATCATCATCATCATCATCATCATCATCATCATCATCATCATCATTAGCATCAACATCATCATCCTCGGCATCACCATCACCATCACTATCAACATCACCATCACCGTCACCGTCACCATCACCATAATCGGAATCCTCACCACCATCGTCATCATCGTCATCCGCATCATAATCAGTAACAGCATCAACCTCATCATCATCAGCAGCAGCATCATCAACAGCAGCATAATTCTCATCAAAATCGGCATCATCATCAGCAGCATCATCAGCATCATCAGCACCAGCATCGTCGGCATCAGCATCAGCATCAGCATCAGCATCAGCATCAGCATCAGCATCATCATCATCATCATCATCATCATCATCCTCATCATCATCATCATCATCAACAACAACATCACTTACATCATCCGGGCACCGCTCTCTTCTCACTGGACTTTCGGAGACTCCTTACATGGCCTCTTGGGTCGCCCTGGAACGTTGAGAGCTACTAAAAAAACGAGACCGCGAGAACCCAGGGACAACGAACAAGATTCAAGTATTATGTCTTGTCGATCCTTGGGGTACTCTTTAGGCCCGTTGCCTCAAGGGACTAAGGGGAGAAATTGGGGCAATCTTAGCGCGGAAAGCTCAACATATTCCTTCAGGCTCCCCCTCTGGGCCCCTCTTGGGACCGTCGTCTGGGACCTTTCGGCCGTCAGGGGGGTGGCTTGGGTGGTCTTGCTCCTTTCCTCACCCTCCTACTCATCATCCTAATATCGTCCCGATCCCCCTCGTTCCTCTTCCTTTCCAGACCTTCGCTTCTCCGCACTGGCTTCTCGGAGACTCCCTGGAGGGCCTCTGGGGTCGCCCTGGAGCGTGGAAAACATGAACGAGCGAGAACACGAGAATCTGGACATGCACGCACACAAACACACTTACACACACAAATATAATGTAAGGTTGGCGTCTGAGGGGTGCTCTTGGAGGTCCTCCTGGGCCATCCTAGCGCGGAAGGCTCGATATATATATATATATATATATATATATATATATATATACATATAGTCAGGCTCCTTCTATGGGCCCCTCACGGGGCCGTCGTGTTGGACTGTTCGGCTGTGAAGGGGGCCTCTTGAACATTCTTGCCCCTTCCCTCATTCTCCTACTCAGCATCATCAAGATCATCCTGATCCCTCTTCCTTGTAATCCTTGACTTTTAATCACTGGCTTCGCGGAGACTCCTTCGAGGACCTCTTGGGTTGCCCTGGAGCGTCGAAAGCTCGAAGAAGCGAGGACGCGAGAATCCGAGAACAAACACGCAAACGATGTAGGTGTCGCGTCTTGGGGTGCTCTTTGTGGGAACTCGTTGAGCATGCTGGGAGATTCTCGGGGGCCTCTTGGCAGCGCCTCGATAGCCTCAGGGGAGGATCTTGCGGCCATCTGAGCGCGGGATGCTTGAGATATCCGGTCGGGTTCCCCCTTTGGGCCCCTCTTGGGGGACTCTTCGGCAATCAGGGGGGCCCCTTGGGCGGTCTTGGCTTTCTCTAGGGCCGTCTGGGTGCCCTCTCCGAAGCCTCTTTGGCCGTCCTTGGGCGCTCTTAGAGGCCTCTGGGGTCGTCGTGGAAGGGTTGGAAGACCGAAAGAGCGAGGCCAACATGCTGCAAAAACCTATGGGAAATACCTGGTGTTCCGATCACGGGGCGCTCTGAGGAGTCCTTCTCGAGCCATCTCGGGGAGTTTGGAGGGCCTTCCTTTTGAGTGTTTGGTTTGGTTGACCAGAAAGGGGGTCCAGCTGAAAGGGGGTGGTGCAACAGGTTTGGTGCCATTGTATTGCAAATGTATTGCGCCAAAGAGTTGTATTGCACTGCATTGTAACTGTATTGCGCGCGAAATCTCAGCTGTACACTGGCGCACCATAATGTACTGCACGCCCCAGATTCTGTCGCAACCCAAGAAGTCTATTGCACCAAATCTACCGCACCACTCTCTTTTCGCTGGACCCCCTTCTGGGTCAACCAGACTTGGGGGCCTCTGTGACGGCGTTGGGGGTCTTGCAGAGCAGCCCCAGCCCCTGGGACCCCCTTTGTGCTCGGGGGGCCCTGGCCCTGGGGACAGTTTCGGGTGTCGCGAGGCCGTTCTGAAAGCCTCTCGAGGGCCTCGTGGAGCGTCTGGGGGCCTCCGAGAGGGTCTTGCTGACATGGCGGGAATCGCACCCCGAAGAGGGCACCCGACGACCCTTCTTGGCTGTCTCTTGGGACTCTATTGGGTCTCTCTCGTGGCCCGCCTCTTTGGGCTCTCTGG